GAGAGGAATGATCCTTTGGTTGAACAACCTCAAGGATAAAGCCAAGACAGGAAAAGCACGTTAGAATTTAACGTTGTTTTCCAATAATTAAAATGTTAATTTGATTTTTCAATTTTTAGATTTGTATTAAAATTATCTTTTAATTTTAAAAAATATTAAAATTATCTTTAAACTTTAATTTTTAACATCAAAATAATCCTTTTATTTTTATTTTTATTTTTTGTTACACATGAAGAAAAATTAACTAATCAATGTCGCAAAAAAGCAACACCTAACATGTCCCTTTCTAAAAAAGCATTCAGTCCAGGCGGAGGAGAATCAAAGACGGTTGTTCCAATTGGCATACTATGCTCAATTCCAGCCAAAAAGTCTGCCGCCGAATTAGCTTCACATGGTGTGTGTTGAATAATAATGGAATCAAATTCAAATATGAGCCTTCTGATGCAGACACAAGAACCGCTGAAAGACTATCTTGCTCCTTCTGGCCATTTATAACCTGTACTGCAGATAAAGAGTCCATTTCAACAACTACATGCTTAAGACCCTTGTTCTTGCATAAGATCAGCCCTTCTCTACAGCCCCATAATTTAGCTAAGAAAATGAAAACTAAACCAATGTTTACCAATGTTAAGAAAATAATCCTTTTATTAATAGAAGTGTCACGTAATTTATTATTTTATCATAATATCATTTTTTAAAAATATTAATTATGTATAAAATCAAATAATTATATTTTATTATCATAATATATTTCGATTTATATATCAAATTGATATAAATTAAAATTAAAAAATTAAATTAGTATTTGTAATAAAAGTTTAAAAACTATGCTGATATTTGTCTTCAAAATTTAAAAATTAAATTAATATTATCTTTAAAATTTAAAAATTATTTTGGTATCAAAAATTAAAATTAAAGACAATTTTAATATTTTTTAAAATTTAAAAATAATTTTAAAAGTTGAGGGGACAAATTCATATTTTAACCTTATCCAATATCAAGCTAAAAAATCTTTGCCTGTGCTCGAGCTCTCATTGTCAACGAGGTTCCGTACATTTGTTTTTCGCATTGAAAAATATTCCTTTTTTTTAACCTTATTTTATATTGAAATCTTACATTTTTACATTATAAAAATAATTAATTTTATGTTAAAAATTACGAAAAACCAGTCGTTCTTTAGTAATTAAAATATTTAAAATGATAATAAAAAAATTTAAATATTCTCAATAAATTAACAGACAAAAATATTAAGATCTATGAATAATTTTACAAATAATTTTAACATTTAAAATGTTAAAATATTTTAATTTTTACTTCTCTTTTTTATGTGATAATAATTAATTATTTAAATTCTTTTTACTCACAAAATGTGTAAATAGTAAATGGTATACATCCCTCCTTTAATATCATGTAAATATGGTAATAAAACACTGTACACTGAGTAATATTATGGGTGTTTTGATATTTGATACTGTATCCAATTCTTCATTTCTCCAACATTTTTTTCCCTTTTTTTATTAACTGCATTTCTCTCACATTTCAATCCAAAAAGATTCAGTGCCTTGCATTACTGGCCGGTAGGTGCAATTTATTCAACCAACTTTCCATCACAAATTTGCCACATGATAAGTTACTCTTATGTTAAGTATATAAATAATTTAATGGTAATATTTTTTTAGTAAAAATAAAATATTTTAATAAATTTAAGTTATATTGTATATAAATGAGGTAAATTAAAAAATAAAAAAAATTATCTTTCATTATATAACTTAAAATCAAATAAATAAATAAATAAGTTATTATGATAATCAAAGTGATTTTAGGTAATGGTCAGGTTTTTTTTTTTTTTTTTTTGGAAAAAGGTGATGGTCAGGTTTTATATGAAAAATATTATCTAATAAAAAATGTAAATTCTTCTTTCCTCTTTTCTTATTAATTAGATTAGAGTTTTTTACCAGAATTATATATGTGGGAATACATACAAATCATAACACTTAATCAAATGATTAGTAGTGGTTGGTGGCACGATGCACGATGCCCACATAAAAAATTAATGAAGTTAATTACTAATAAATTTGTTTAATTTCTTTCATGAATAAAATAGCTGACTTGCTGTTATACATATTTTCATGTACCCTGTACTACTATATATGATGCTGAGTCAGAAAAGATTAATCTTATCCAGAATCGATCCACCAGAATGTGTTTCTCTTTGGACATACTATAATTTTTATTTTTTTTAATTATTTTTTCCTTTTCAGAATTTGGTTGGTTGAGGGTAGCTAGCAACTGCATATGTTTTATTTTGTTAGACAGTATTTTGGACCAAACTAGAGCTGCAACAGTTACATCAAATGTTTGAAACTTCAAACGCAACGTGCCAATATTACATCTACCAAGTCCCATTCGTTACTTAACAATAATAAAATCATTAAGTACAATTCCCCTGCCCAGTGCTATTGTGCCGCTGACATATATAGTGAAAAATATATATATCACTAAAAATAAACACTAAAATAAGTAAAATATATCTAGAATTGCTTAATATACGTCGGGCTTTGTTTATAGCGCGCACTGTATTGTAATTTTTTGATATATGTCTTCTATAAAGCGTTGGAGTAACACTACTTGTGTATCTCTATATATTTATATATAAAGGGAGTCAATATTTATTTATATATAAATTTTATACATCACACTTATATAAAATTTTAATTATTTATTTTTTTACTTTCAATTATTGAGATTTATTATGATTTTTTGTATAAAAACAATAATTACTTTTAATAAATATAAATTAATTTCAATAATTAAAAGTAAAAAATAAATAATTAAAATTTTATATAAATATGATATATAAAATTTATATATAAGTAGATTTCTACTCATATATATGCTTGATTTTACTGGTAAAAAAATGACGTGGTTTGTGGTGGGGTTAATTGAATTATAAGCACTCCAAGATAAAGAAGAAGGAAAAAATTGTGCGCCAAGAAATTGTCGGTAAGATTTCTGCTATAAGCATACGAGAAAACTTGTTAATCTTGATTAATTAATCCAACTGATACTAATAAGGTCTAAATTGAAGATAGGAAACAAAAGCACTAATGGGAATAATTTATCTATTTATTTACATATTACTCTTAAAAAATACTACTATAAAATAAAAAGAAAATTTTGACAACAAAATAAACCATTAAAGTAAAGGGTAATACTAACAGAGTTAGAGAAGGAAAAAAATAATACTGAAATATCATTAGTTGAAGATATTCTACATTAAAAATTAAGAGTTATTTTGAGGTAGAAAAAGAATAATAAGTGTAGGCTTTTTAATTTACTGCAGTACAATTTCGGTACGGGTAACCGTCCCAATAAAATTAATTACTATATTTTTCTTTTTTCTTTTTTAAATATTTTTACCATAAAACCGGTAAAACAGTTACCTTTGCCATAAAACGGATAAAATTAATTACCATATATATATTTTAAACATTTTTATCATGAAATCGGTAGAACAGTTACCCTTACCATAGAGCGGATATAACCGTTGCCCTTCGCTGTTGGTGCAACTACTACACCATATCGATGCCGTTGGATGAAAACTTTTTGACTTCTGGTTGTCCAAACTTCAAAGGATTAGTGTGCAACTGTGAGTTATCGGTACTACCACTAATAGTAGTACATTCTTTAAATTTTCTTAAATTTCTGGCTTTCGGTCTTCATTAAATTTTTTTCTTTTAACAGGATTATATGTTAGAGGTTTTTGAAAGAAGAAAAAGATTTAAACCCAATTTTGATGAAGAGTCTTACATGAGAGCAACTATTTGCTTTACCCAGGTTTCTCTTTCGGTCTTCATTATTTGATTTGAAGCTTAAGGTAGTCTTTATCAAATGCTTAAATTAGTTAGATCAGTAAATACTTCTATTCATAAGATTTGGTGGTAAAGTTGGCTATGTAT